GTCTGTGCCACGATGTGCCCGGCAGCCTCAGGATTTTAATTTTTCCACTTGCTCTTGTTGAATAATAGTCTTAGACTAACACTTGCATGCTAGTCTCACTGTTTCTTTGGTCATGTCTTGGTACCTTCTAAGCACTAAATGAATGTTTAAAAATAAACGAGATAAAAGAGACTTTTTTTTTTGCACTTACTCTGCATAAATCTTGGTTAAAAAATAATCCAACTCCCAGGAGGTAAAAAATGAAGTTTCCTTTCTCTGTCATATACATTGGGGTAATATGTGACCATCTTTTCATGTAACTGTTGCAGGGTTTTTCACGATGAGCCGGAGGAGGATATCGTGTAAAGACCTGGGGCACGCGGACTGCCAAGGGTGGCTCTATAAGAAAAAGGAGAAAGGAACTTTCCTGAGCAACAAATGGAAGAAATTCTGGGTGGTACTGAAGGCATCCTCCCTATATTGGTACAGCAATCAGTTGGTGAGTCCACTCTCCCTCCCATCCCCAGCCCCTCTCACCAAGGGTGCACTGAAGATCCTTGTTGAGCAGATGATCCCATTGAGAAAGTTAATTTTTTATTTCTGAGACTTGGAACAGAGGAAATAAACGAGTTCTAGAAACCATTTCTGGTCTGGTACATATGTAGGTCATTCTGTGTTTTACAGAAGAGAAAGCCACGCTGCTTGACTGACTTATCTTTGGTTGGAAAAGGCCATGCAAATGTATGTCCTAATAAAGGAGACTTTCCGTGTCTATTAATGTTACTATTCTATGCGAGATTCCAATCATCTCAGGATTCCCGTGGACAGCATTGGATATGGGAAATATACATTGTTAAAGTGTCTACAAGAAAAGGGACTCAGCTTTAAGACCTATTAGGGGTGTCAGTCCACAGACACTATTTTCATTTCTCCTTTTTTACTATCTTTTCCTCTGACCTTCTTTATTAGATGGGTTGGCTTTGGAATCGCTAATAGTCGGTGACTATTGTGTCTTGTTCTTTGGCATGTTTAGTGATGGTGTTAAATTATGCTTGGACAATCTTGATAAGAGAGTTGTTTAATCTATCATTTCGAGGCAGTATGCTTTTATGGTTTTCTTCACAGGCTAGTTTTCTGTTTGGAAATGGCTAGGAATAAAGTTATTGTTAGAAGGTGTGCTGATCTTTCTGGCTTGAGACATTTTGAAATCGATGATGTTGAAAATTGAATGAGTAGAGATTTTTCACATGGGAACTCTCTCCATTAACCTCAGAGTAGCCAATGGCTAATCTCAGCAGAGATTGAGTTTGTTTTGGGGGTAAAGTGAAGATCAGCAATGGATATCCTTTGATTAACTAATGAAAAGTTAAGAATTACTCTTAAGCCAGGACAATTATTTTTATACTAGAGGCCTGGTGCATGAAATTCGTGCATGAGTCCCCAGGCCTGGCTGGCGATCAGGGCCGATCTGTGGGGCAACCGGCAGGGCAATTGGGGGGCCCCCTGTTGGCACCCACCTTGGCTGGCCTTGGGCCTGCGGCTGGGGGCAGCTCTTGTGTTGAGCGTCTGCCCCCTGGTGCAGTGTGAGTCATAGCGACCGGTCATTCTGCTGTTTCACCGTTTGGTTGATTTGTGTATTAGGCTTTTATTACATAGGATGACAGCATTCTTTTAAAGTGACTTGTATGTGCCATAGTGCAAGCAACAGAGTATTAGAGCATGCAATTTTATAAATGAAAATAAGTTCTGTGTATAGTCTGTGGGAAAAATTTTTAGTTGATAAATTCACATTCACTGATCACTAATTCACAGGCACCCATTCTGTAAAGAATAGGTTAAATCCAATTCTAATGATGTGGAATAAGCATTCTTTCCTGTGTTTCTCTTTGTACCCTCTCCGACACTCCTGTGCAAAACATGCTGTACAATTCTTCAAGTTCTATAAAAATAATAGAGGCCCAGTGCACAAAAATGTGTGCACTGGAGGGGGGGTCCCTCAGCCCGGTCTGTGCCCTTTTGCAGTCTGGTACCCCTCAGGGGATGTCCACCTATTGGCTTAGTCCTGCTCCCCGGGGGATTGGGCCTAAGCTAGCAGTCAGACATCCCTCTGGTAGCCCAGGAGCCCCCAGGGGATGTCCACTTGCCAGCAGGGAGCAGGCCTAAGCTGCAGTTGGACATCCTTAGCACTGCTGAGGAGGCAGGAGAGGCTCCCACCACCACCGCTGTGCTGGCAGCCGTTAGCCTGGCAGCCGTCAGCCTAGCTTGTGGCTGAGCAGAGCTCCCCCTGTGGGAGCGTACTTTCCTCCAGGGGGCAGCTCCTGCATTTAGCGTCTGCCCCCTGGTGGTCAGTGAGTGTCATAGTGACCAGTCATTCCCAGTCATTCTGCTGTTAGGGTCAATTTGCATATTACCCTTTTATTATATAGGATATTTCCTCAAGCCTTTTGTGAGTTTTAACAACTTGATCAAAGATTTTGGAGGTTCTCAAAGAGTCACCTTGATAAGCATGCAGTTTTCCACCGTCTCCTTTTCTCTCTTCTCTTTTGCCCTCCTGGATTCGTTTATCTTCTTGTCCAGCATGGAATGGTTTTACCCAAATTAAGGCAACCTGGAGCTGGCGTCTCACCTGCTATCCTAAGGGATTTTTCCTAAACAAATACTGTTTTCTTCTTAAGAAGAGTTAATGTTAATGTAAACTTCAACCTCTTGTTTCATCTTATTTTAGGCTCTTGCCTTTGGGTAGTTGTGGCAAGTGAGAGGCTGTATCTTTTATAAAATGAGAGGACTTACTGATTTACATTTTAATAGCTCCCCAGGATTTTTCAGAGGTTGTTGGAAGGATTGGGTGCTGATGGAGAATGGCGCATCTGTGGGCAATAACAAAGCTCAGATAGAAACGTGGCATTCATTTTCTCATCTGATCAAATTATTCAGCAGAGATGTCCCGGGTGCTGTCCTTTTTTTACAGCACACAGTTACGGATTTGTGTTATTTGGTTTCATCAGCTCACTGGGATTAAGCAATGAATTACTATTTTGGGCATTAGGAGTCTCCTGCCTCCACAGGGAGCAGCAATGTTGACTGAGGCCAGATTAGAAAGAGGAAGCGGAGACAGCATCAGACACACTCAAGCACCCCGGGCCTCACTTGCAGATGCATACAGAGTGATATTCAGGTAGCAAATCCTGTACCTAAGTAGAGTTAGATCAGCAACATTGAATGGAGAATAAATGTGTTGTTACCTGGCAACGGAGTTATCCTCTTAAACTAGTGGTAGGTGATGGAAGGACCCTTCCAACTCCTTAATTCTGTGACTGTGTCATAGAGGAATATCCTTAGCCCAGGATGGTTGCCGTATGCAAATCTGACTGCACGTAGGTGACATGATTAGACACCTTGTTTCCTCCTTCCATAGGGTTCTGAGAGAACAACTCTAGAAATGAAATTTAGGGCAATTCTTCTGAGAAAGTACCAGTGACCTCCTGGGACCCCTTTGTTGTCTCTACTGTTCCCTGACAGTGCCTGGGGAGACCACCGCCTCCTCCTGTCTCTTAGCATTTTTTGTTACTGCTGTCACCCAGGAATTGACTCCTGGCGTACCTTCTTTTTTCACAATGCTTTGCGGCTTTGAGCAGTGCTAGCTAGACTTCCTTGAGAAAAGTCAAGTCCAGGCACTCATCTGCCATTTTCCTCACCTCATATTATGTGCTTAAATGTGATGCAGCACACAAGAATTATATGCCAAATCTTACAAAAGCAGATTCAAGTTTAATAGCCATAAAAATTCATGCTGTTTAAAATCCTGGGTTTAAAATCCACACAATTGTTTTTCCTTGCCCCTAGGATAAAGTACAAATTCATTTACTGACCCATATCTCTCCTACTTCCCTCCCCTCCCCACCCAAGCTTCAACTGTGGAACATATAGCGGTGAGCCAGGGCCAGTAAATGGGGCCCCAAACATACAGTGCAGGGATGTGGATAGGATCCAGGAGGGAGTAGGGAGCCACCGTATAGTCTCAAATCAGAAGATGATCTAATGAAATTGGATTGTGAAAATATGAACCTAGCGCTCATTCATGGGAGGTATTGGAGAATAGAATAAAGGACCTTTCCGCAGGCCAGTGGGAGAGGGTGACAAAATGCAGGCGTTGAGCCATGAACTCCTGGACAAGAGTGGAAACTGAAAATTTGGGGCATACTACATGAAAGGCAAGATGTTGAGAACTGGGAGGTAGGGACTACACAGGGCAAAATGATATTTCAGCAGCTGTCAGTGAGCAGTTTGCTTAAAACCCGAACACAGGAATGATGGGGGACCAGGAAGAAAAATTCTGTTACTTCCCTCATTATAATTTCAGGTATGCGGAGACAACCTTTGAAATGGACATTTGCCTTCATCTATAGGTTGTCTGTGATGCTATCACTGTGTCCTGATATTTATTTTCCTTAGTAGTTCCCAGAATGTATTTCTAAAATCATGGTGTCCCATCATAGTTTTATGATCAGGCCAGTCTGTAGTTGGGGCAGGCAGTTTTTAATAACTCCTACTTGCTAAATTCATAGAATGTGGGAGCAATTGCTTATGTTGCCAATTTGTTTTTCTTTATATTTTTCCCAAACTTTTCACAATCAATTGTAAAACACCAAGACTGTGCAATCCCTCATGTCTTGGCTTGTTCTCAGGAGGCAATGATGTGCTGGCTGCTTTGGTTGATGGCGCTAGAGCGAATGACGTGGGCTTGGCTGTATCCCAGGCCCATCCTCCCGGTGCACACCAGTGACTGAACTGCCCACTCAGGGGATGCGGCGCTGGCCTGCCGCCTCTGGTGGGCGATGCTCAGTGCTTTCCCCGGCGATGCCACAGCTTCTGTCCGACTTTATCTTTCCTCGGTGGAATCCATCGTGTCTTGTTTCTTGAACATTTAAATTAATTTAAAATTGTTTAAAAATATTGTATAATAGTATGTGTTCATTTAGAAAAGCTGGAATATATACCTAAACAAAATGAAAAAGATAGGGAGGCAAACAGACAGAAATTAACAAGTGAATTAAGAGAATTTATTCGTTTAGGTTCATCACGATCCTACCATTTTGGTGTGATCACTGTAAACATTTTGTGATATTTCCAAACTCTTTTTGTTTTCCAAAAATAAAATGATACTATGCATAATGTTGTAACTCGATTTTCTCCCTACGCAATACATTCTCAACATATTTCCATGGCAATATGTATGTATCCAAACATCATTTACATATAGATTTATTATAGTTTATCAATCCACAGAATCTAAAATCAGAAATACCTTTTATTCTAAAATCTTTTAAAAAAATATCTTTTCTTCATTTCAGAAAGAGAGATAGAAACATCAATGATGAGAGAGAATCATTGATTGGCGGCCTCCTGCATGCCCCACACTGGGGATCGAGCCCACAACCTGGGTATGTGCCCTAACTGGGAATCGAACCTCTTGGTTCATAGGTCAACAGTCAACCACTG